GGCCCGGCGCACAAGACCCCGGCTCGGCCTATGGCTGCCGCAAGCACCAAGACAGCAACGATTAAGAAGTCTGCTACGCGGTCGTCGCCCCGATTCCAAGACGGCGAAAAAATTGAGCTGCCTGAAATCGACACTGATCCTGAAGATGAAGATGAGAACGACGACTTCGTGGCGCCTTGGGCTGATTCACCCGATCTGCGCCGAGCTCTCATGCGACAAGAGACTCTGGATCCTCAAGGCATCTTTGGCCCTCCTCGAGCCTTGAACATGGAAGAAGTATTTAATAACAGCAAGGAGAGATGGCACAAGTTCCGCGCCCGCACATCTAGTGCAAACTGGAGCGGATCAGACCGCTTGACGGAGGATGAGATCAGGAAAGATATTGCGGCTCGCAATAGGCTGCGCAAAGACGGCGGCTGGTCCTATGAGATGAGCAAGGATTTGAGCTAAGCGCCATGTGTGGTTTTTAGGCGTTGTTATCGTGTATCAGGGATACAGCTGTGTTGGAGACACATGCGAACGCGCTCATGAGGACATTAATCTGCGGGCAGGATCGGATGGGTGCCAGGGGAGGCCACAGGGCTATAGCATTGCGTGTGCGTATCATTCATTGCCGTAAAGGCAATACTGTGTTAAAGGACTTTATTTTTGATTGCGGGCGTTTGGCAGGCAGCATAAAGCATTGGTTTTCGAAGGCAATATTTTTCGCAGAATGAAAAGACACATGCGTTTCTGAGCGAGACTGGTTTTACTTGCTTGAACAACATATACCACAGCACTGTCATATGGAAGCTGACGCCATTTGCCGAGCCAATGATGACGCTCGGGATGCATAGAGGGCTGTTCTATGACCGGGATGTCCGCTCCGTTGGCGGAGCAACCACGGCGCGTAGACACGCGTTCTGGTCTGTGAGGTCGGCGGGGGCGGGGCAGAACCGACGTCGTCCCAAGTTTCATGGTCATCTGTTTTGGCGAACCTTGACTGGCGACTCCTTATGTTGGTTTTGCTAAGCTGGCATTGAAAACTGCCATTGCTGACATGGTCGAGGCCCATCCGCCTCGCGTTTTCGCCATGACTATTCTTCCGTTGTACCCTACCTTCTTTTGAACGTTTAAATGCGATATCGTCCTTGCTTTCTCGGACAGCGTTTCTGACCGTCCATCATCTGCTATCCCTTTACAGACAGGCCTGTTTTCCCGACTCAACTCTGGCTGTTTACTCTTGAAGCCTGACTCCAGAAGAATAAACGGCCGCGCAACCTGGGCTGTGCCTCTGTATCCTTGTCTCTGGCTGTCGAAAAGGACGAGGCACGGACAAAAGCTCCGTTGCGAACTACGGAGCGACCCTCTTCGTCCTCATCCTGTAGTTCTTTGCTGAGTTCAAGGACTTGGTCGTCTGTTTTCAGTTTGGACCTGGATAGAATGCTCGATATCTCGGCGCTCTCGGACATCTGAGCAATCGTGTGCCAGGCGTCGTTGGGTATGCTGAAATCTGTCGTCCTGAAGAGGATGCAAACACTGGTGGAGATAACAGCGAATACAGTGATAATTGCCATGACGATCCAGTACCCTCGACGACTGACTGGCACTGTTGCAACTTCGAAGATCGTGATGGTGATGTTCTCGTTTACAGTAGGTGGGAAAAAACTGATGAAACGATGGTAAATCATCCGCGCTTTCGTGAAGTACGCAGCCTGTAATGCGCGTGCAAGACTCCGTGTCACTCATGACAGCATTCAACAAATTGGCGTAGACTGAGTGAGCTTGTGTCATGTTCTCATGGGGCCCGCAATTCGGGCAGAACGAAAGCGGCACGTCGAGCGAATGGTCGTAGGGCCAATTACCAGCCAATTCATCCACTTCGCCATATTCTGCTGAATTCACTCTGTTACGAGCATTAATCAGAGAAGCTTTGAGGCTAGCGGGGCTGATGTGCATAATTTGACGGTCCTCAGGCGTCGTTGAGTTCGAAGCGACTCCAATTTGTACGCGAACATCATGAGCTACATCCAAATTCCAGCCAGTGTTTCGAAAGAACTCAGCTCCTTCGAATGCAGGTTTCGTGTATATTGGGCCCGTAAACACGGGCTCCGCTCTCGGTCTCGTTCTTGTAGCGACCAGCTTCAGATTCTTCGTAGAAACGCGACACGTCATCCTAGATATAATAATGTTCTTAGTTCCTCCGTGTAAGTATCTCTAGGGCGTGTATTTGTATTGACTTGCTCGTCAAACCCTTTACAGATATTCCTTCTGATGTTGCTATAGCGATCCATGCGCCTTTGTTCTTCTTCTGAGAGGAGAGGGTTTCTGGGAGTACCATACACATTCGAGGCTTCTTCCATCACCAACTGGAACAACCTCGTGATATTGAACGTCTGCTTCAGCCACATATTTTCCTTGCTAGATAGAACAGACTGGATTGCGTTGTTGCCAGTGCCGTTCACAGCTCGTACCGACGCAGTGGGGGGTCACTAGAGTCCTCAAAAATGTGATCAATCTTCGTCCAGTTGGCGCCGATATCCAGCGGACAAACCTGCCAAACCTGTTCTGGTTAACAAATGGCGGAAGCAAACAGGCAAAGTTATCTGTGCCAGCCGACGAAGGCTCTGCACCAAGAAAGTTCTCCAGCGTAAGCCCGTCTACTCAGACAGTGCCACATAAGCTGATACTCGGCGGGTTCTTTCTCAAGTAACAAAAGCTGAGGTTCGTCACTTCTGGGCGTACGCAAGTCACTCCCGATTCCACAACTCTTGCCGTGCCGCGAAATTCTTGCAATTTCCCCCTTGCTTGTGCCGAAGATAGAGGAAGAAATGTTCGAATGGTCGAGCCTGTGTCATCGATCCCTTCGTCTGTGACAGGGACTCCAGCGTACTCAGCAAACGTCTCTGATAGGTAAGGTGGCTCTTGCCAGTCGTTCTTGGACCGTTCAGATTGACCAAAACGAAACGAGTAAGTCTTGTTGACGACCTTTAGGCTGCGATATGCATCAGAAGGGTGCCGCGGAAGCAGTAGATTTCTAGGTCGGAAGCTCGATTCGTGAGTTTCGGGCTGGGTACGCCCTGTGTTCACTAGATTGACCTGTTGAAAAAACTTGGCTCCGGGAAGTCATCTGTGTCGCTAGACCACAACATATCATGCAGTACTCCCGATTCCAACTTGTATGAAGTGACAAACACTGAGCGGAGCCAGTACTTGAGACTAGACCAATAGAGACAGCACCTCCGGGCTCATGTTAGAGTGGACAGTGTCTTGACACGAGAGTGCCGTTCATAGCTTCCGTAGACAGCTTCATCTCAGCTTGAGGGCAAGATCCGAGTGTGTGCTGATCCGTTGCTGATAATGTTCAGATTTGCCTAACTTTTGTTGCATGGGGAGGCAACGGAATCGGCCATCTATCTTGCAGGTCTCTGATGTAGTTGGGTGGCTGGCAGATGAAGTGGCTTGACTGGTCGACTCCCGTCGTTAGTTTGAGGCGCGGCTCATCACGCCTCCCGAGATCAGCCCGGTAGAACGGTGGCTTAGCGCACTGGTAGAGTCGCAATTCTTAGGTTCGATTTAGGCCATCGAGGTGGTAGGTATCCACATTCGGAGGTTCAGGTTGAAGCAAGGCGACCCTATCGACCATTACGAGGGCACGAGGGGCAGCTGGAATGAGCGAGCTGAGGCGTCCTTTCAGGGCTGGTGCGGATGGAGGGGCAGCCAAAGGAACAACGGCTGGGGTTTGCCGGGGAGTCCCTGAAGGGACTGCTAAATAAAAATTTGGACCCCTGCCCCATTGACCCTCTGCTGCCCGCGCAACCGAACGAACAGGAAGGACGGACGGGCCGTCAACAAGACCTTACTCTCTGTGGAAGGAAAAAGGTAAAGCAGGCCAGGTCGCAGTCAATATTTGCTTCTTCGCTTTCGCAAATCCTACCTAACCCAGCTGATGAGGCTCTCAACTCTCCTTTTTTGACGACCCGTGAACCTCTTTTCTTCTTGGACGACGTCGACACAGCGTCGTATCACGCATTCCCCGCCATCAGCCGTCTCGTCTGCTCGCCCGTTGCCAGACCAGACAGTCCCCCTCGGCTTTGCATCTACGGCTGCTTTTTGACGTCATTCGGTGAGTTGCCCTCCCACGACAGGTCGCATGCGCGGCCACCCAATCACTTCTGCATCTACCCTGAGAAACCGACGACGAAAGACGGTGAGCAGCCAACCACTGCCGGCGGCTTAGTCTACTGCCGTCCTTGCCTCCGACTGGCTGCTGCCCGCTTGGTTTACCATCGGGTGCCCTTGTCTGCATCGTCGGACCGCTACCTTTTGCTCCCCCGCGGTGCCTGGCTCCGTCATCTAGCATCGACGCCAATCCTTGTTGCTGTCTGCAGTTCTGCGAGACATAATAGACTCCTAGACTCGCGGTGTCGATTGCCCCTCCTTCCCGTTTGTGGCGTCCATTTGGAGACTGCTCGCCCGCTTATTGCACGGCTGCTTACTCGTCTGACACGTCTGATTCGCTTCGCACGATACCTCTCACTCGCGGATACCACCACCGTTCTGTCGCAAGCTGCTCGTCTTGTGACATAACTGCTGACACACTTGCTACCATAGATCTCTACTCGTCTGCACCTTCCCTCATCTTCCACGACCAGCGATCGCACTTGACAACCATTCAACGAGGTTGCCTCTTTGCCAGTTGCACCGCCTCACCTCGTCCACGCAAACTTGCAGTTGCGCTACTCCGCACTACGAGGCGAAGCCACCTGCAAGCGGCAACGTCACGCCTGCGACTTCGCCTTCCCCAACGCACACTCTGCCAATAGCTTGCCAGCCACGAGCACTCGATCGAACGAGCTGGATCCAACTTTGGGCGACTAGGAAATTTCAACAAAACTCGCTCCTCAGCACGACGTTCACATCGTTTCCATACACGACGACCGACCTTGGGATGCATCTTGCGCAAAATCAGGCAGCCTTCACACCTTGCTAGCAGTTGACAACCTCTATCCACCGCCAGGATGGGAGGAGTTGACATGAGCCGCGACTACTACGCGGACCTGGAGCTTCCAGCGAACTCCGACGTGAACGAGATCAAGAAACAGTTCCGGAAACTTGGTACGGCGACGTCTTCCCCGTCCGTGCCTCCTCGTCCGGCATACTGACTTCTGCTAGCTCTCAAGTATCACCCCGATCGAAACCCGGGTAGAGAAGCCGAAGTCAACTCCAAGTTTCAGATGATTCAGTCGGCCCACGAGGTCCTGACCGATCCCGACTCGAGAGCCAAGTACGATGCTGGAAGAACACGATCGAGATACCCAACTGCTTCTGGAGTGAGGGGCAATCCATGGCAGAACGCCGGCTCCAACTTCCCGCCTCCGCCTCGTCGCAATGCCACCTCAACGGCTCGTAACCCGCCGTCGTCGGGAGCGAATAGGTACCGCAACTTTGCCTCGGGTGCAGCTCCCACGGCCAAGGCCCAGCAGCAGAGTGACCCAGAGGCGAAACGGAATGCCTGGCATGCCTTCGAGAACATGAGGGGCAAAGCGAGCCAGTCTCAACCAAAGCCCAAAAACGAACCCCCGGAGCCCCCTAAGCGACCTGTGCCACGAACACCCTCCCAAAAGCAGCGAGCAGAGGCCGCCTTTGGAGCACGCAAGGGAGGTTATGTGCCTCACTCGCCTGTTCCTGGTGACGAGCCTCCAGTCAACGCCTCCAATTACTCCACGACCAACCGTCACTCCAACATCTTCGCCGACAATGCCCGCAGACAAGGTGTCCCAGACCCTCTTGCCCAATTCCGTGAGGGCTACGCAGACAGTCGGCAGAGCACACCTTACTCCTCGCACGGAGGAGAGAAGACAAACCCGTTCGATGGGGTGCCTATCGGACGAGCCAAGAGCACTCGTGAAACTCCTCGGCAGCCCGAGGAAGGGTTCGGGCCTAACCTATCACCCGGAAGCGCTCGTCAACGTGCACAGAGTGTTCCGCGTCAGGCCAGAACTGAGCCTTCAAGTCCTCGAACGTCCTCGACGCCACAAGACGACCGACCGAACACCGCGACCGCTACGGCAGCTAACTCACCCAAGGACCCCTTCAGATCCAGAGCTAGCGCGAGATACACGCCGCCGAATGCGAACCCTGGCTTTGCTCAAGATGGCGGTCACCCCAAGCCAGCAACGGCTACTGATGGTGAGTTTGTGACTGTTGGTTTCACGGAGCTCAGCTAATATAGTCCAGAACATGGAAACACCAAGTCTGCAGGAAAGCAACAGGCATCTTCAATGTACGGCACTTCTCATTATTCAACTTCTTCTTTCGCTTCATATATCAAGCCGAACTTTACATACGGCAAGCAGCCTTCGCCCGTGATTTGGGAGGAGCCGACGAAACAGCATCAGAGCCAGAAAAGCGAAATGTCGTCCTCTGCGTCATCTTCTCCCAGTGGAGATAGCTTGAGAAGTCACTCCCTTACACCATTTGAGCGCAAGCAGGGCGAGCTTCTGAGTAGGCTGGTTAAGAGACAAGCTCCGGAACTAACCCCGCTTGGACGCGAGAAGCGCCAGATCACCACTTCAAAACAGAATCCCAGTCCAGTGCATCAAGCTGACAGAAGTGACTCTACTAGCTTCAACTTCTCCATCGACGATGATACCTTCACTCGCACCGAACCCGAGCAACCTTCAATCAGCCGGCGAAGCACAGACGATATTAACACCAGGTTTGTCAACAACGATGGATCTGAGGCCTACCAATTCAGTGCCGGAAGCCCTGTTCATGACGCCCAGGGCCGTTCTCAGTCTGGAAGCCGCGTAGGTCGTCGATCACCGATTAAGCGTCCGACCTTGCGACACCAGAAGGACTTTGCCGGTCAGCCTACAGGATCGCCCTCGTCCGAAGGTAAATTTGATGCTCAGGACTGGACCCAGCAGATTGGCGCCCAAAACTTTGCCCCGTCCGTGTCTACCTCCCCGACACGCACCACTCGATCCAACTCCCGCAAGGCAAAGGTGAAGCCCACGGCTGGTAGCGCCGGCTTGGTGAACGATGAATATGACAGTGATGAGGATGGTGATTGGCGAGGCCGCAAGACTACTGCAGAGCCAGTTGGCGCGAAGAGCCCGAACGCCATGGATATTGATCCCCCACAGGCCGGAGGCGCCCCGAATGCTGCTCAGTCAAACGGCGCGAGGAACATCCCGGTTGAGCCTTCTCGCCCGGAATGGAGGCCTGGTAACGTCAATGGAGTGATGGAAACCGCACCTAAGTCTACAGTGCGGAAGCCTGACTTCAACCCCAACGCCGCAGGCTCTGAGGATAGTGAAGAGTTTAGGGCCAGCTTTGCAGATCTCAAGAACGTGGCGCCGTTTGCGCAAACTGCTTCCGGACTTGGTTCCTTGGGTGACCTCAAGATGAACCTTCCCTTCGAAAGCCAGCCATCTAGCAGCATTCCTATCGAGAAAGAAAAGAAGCCGGCACTTGAATTTCCGGTGGTGCCCGTGGCACCGCGCCCTCCTCCTACCTTTGCGGTCGGTCTGAAGCCAACGGGCGGAGCTTGGCAAAAGTACATCCAAGACTTTCAAAGCTATGTTCTCAGATGGGAAATCTTCAACGCTCAGGTTATCGAGCATTTCAACGCCCGCAAGACAAACATTGCCGATCTTCGAGCCCGCAAGGGCTACGACTTCATAGCCTCTCGTGGCGACGAAGAGCTGATGGAGTACCTCGACTGGATGCAACAGGACAAGGAGGTGCGGAGAAAATGGGCTTTGGCATGCGAGGACCACGAAGCACGCATCCGAGAGTTCATGCTGTATAAGAGCAAGATGAAATGAAGAATGACATGGAGAAGCCATGTCTTGAGAGGAGTGGACTGTATCCTTGTTCTCTGCCTAGGAGATGGGCTTTTTTCGACTTTGACGACAGCTTGGACTGATGGGAAACGACACGAAACGATACCCGGCATTTGGGAGGATGTTATTCACGCTTCGACCTGTCTCTCACTTCTTGCGACTGAAAAGTCCGCATTGCACATACGTTCGGTCGCCGACGTGCGGCGACAATTCATTACGACATAGACGGGGGGTGTGTTGCCTGTGTACACTTCATATTTGCTTTACATCTCGCAGTCTCCTTTCTTCGCACTCGGTCCTGGGTCCCTCAATTTGATGGAGAACGGTTGCGCTACCCTGGAAACTCAGATATGGCGATGATACGCCGAGCCTTGGTTGTTGTCTGCCTCGGCTGGCTTGGAATGGGTTGCGTAATACTTACTAGAAACTTGGTCGTCTTCGAAGGATGTTGGGGGCAGGATTGGTACTCGCGGGCAGCCAGATAGGAAGGAGACAAACATCGAAATTAATGCCACAGAATCAGCCCTATCTTTGCTTCTCATGTTATTTCCAGGCCGCGGCGATCTTGGCGCGTTCCCCACTCCTGGTTGGACGGACGTGTCTGGCAGCAGAGCTCTGCTTACTGGGCCCGCTGCTTCCACAGGTCAGAGCCACGCAATGATCTTGCTGTAATTCTTATCCCCTAGTGATACCTGGCGTCCAAGCATGGCAATCCTTTCAAATCCCCGGTTTCCTTCCTCATGCCCTGTCTGTCGTTCTATGAAGCTGACTCCTGACAAGATGCCAATAAGTCAGTCGTTTACTTCTTGAACCTATCTATTAGAGACCAGAAGTTTCCCGTTCAGTCTTGGTGTTTCTTGCCTTTATCTAACACCCTCTTGCCTTGCTAGAGTGCTCTTTGATGTGAGGGGGACAATTACCTCGAGTTAGGCTACAGAACCACTTCGAAAGAAAGTAAGTCACACGGCCAGTCATCTCACCCAAGCAAGTGTTGCCAGAGACAGTCTCTGTGATCCAATGAGCCTGCGTGTATCATGCCCCTTGCCTAGCAGAGGCAGGTATCAACTTTGATTAGCAGATTATTCGCGTGTAGGAGTATACTGACCATGAAACCAGTAGCAGTTGTCCTCTACCCTTTCAACTCAGTTCTCGCCTTAAAGGCACCCAAAGTATTGCTGTCTGTCTAGATGTCTGCGTCTTTCTCTCTTGGGGAAGCCACAGTCTCAAGCCCTTCTCGCCTTGTGAACTTCTTGTCACCACGATGTCAGTCAAGAACCTGCACAGCGAGAGCAGCCTTGGACCATGAGACCCGCCTCCTTCCCTCTAGAAACCTGAAGCAAGCTGCTTTCGTTACTCCTCTTCTATTCAAATCTCTGCCTTCCTTCCACATCCTCTCCAAAATCTTCTCCTCGCAACATCATCACCACTCACCTTTCTCACACAATCTATCCCACCAACACTCTAGCTATCCAAGAAATAACTACAACCTACCATGGCTGACTCAAAGAACGCCAACACTGCCACTGCCGAGGGTGGTGAGGGTTCCGGCGCTCGAGCTGGCGCCTGGACTGAGGCTGAGAGAGTAAGTTGGGCCTCTGTTCCTATGTCTCCGTCTCCGTCTCCGTTTTCATGTCTGGATCAAATACTGACAGTCGTCTTCAGAGCCAGCTCCTCTTGCGCGTCCTCGCTAGTGTGCTCCCTGAGGGAAAGGGCGTCGATTGGAAGAACGTCAACATGCCCGGCCGCACGCAGAAGGCCTTGCAACACCAGTGGGCCACCGTTCTGGCTCAGATCCGGGACCTCAACATTGGCGGTGACGGCACCGTCACTACCCCGGCCAAGCCCCGTGCGGGTGGGTTTTCTCAGTCCTTCAAAAGTCCTATTGCTCACAGTCTACAGCTCGCAAGAAGACGCCCAAGAAAGCTGCCGGTGCTGCCGATGGCGAGGGCGGCGATGAGGCTAACGAGGGCGACGAGGATGGCACCCCTGTCAAGACCCCTAAGAAGCGCGGCGCTGCTAGCGCTGGTGGTAAGTCTACATCTAGCTTTCATGTCAAATTCAAGCAAGCTGACTTGGCAAGCAGAGGGTTCGGCCAAGAAGCGTCGCGCCCCCAAGAAAAGCACCCCCAAGGTCGAGGATGAGGCCGAGGAGGAGGACGGCGAGGCGAAGGCCGAGGAGAACGTCGAGGAGGAGCAGTAGCCGAACATCGTCCTTTCCGGATAGGGTGCCTACGAATGGCCGGAAAGTAGGAAGCCACTGAAGCGTGTCAATATGCGATCTTTGGGTTGGAAGGACCTTTTGGTGATGACTGGTCTACGTGGTCCTTTTTGAATGAGCTTCATGATGCGGGAAGCGTGCGGATGTGGAACCCAGGCCTAGGTTAGAGACACTTCGTCAAAGGTTGTGGCCACGAAATCAGAAGAGGAATGAGCACACAAAACGATTGCTGACTTCGTATCTGTGAAAATGTTGATCGCCGGGGTGGGCGTTGATGGAGAGAGAGGTCGCCCAGCCGTGGATGGGACTTGCGTTTGACGAATCAAATGGGCCGAGGCGGTCTCCAGATCAAGGTGTACCCCAGCTGGTCATTCGTGCAAGCAGAATGTGAGACCTGCATATTCATCCAGTCTGGATAGCTGCCCCTGATGGTGTGCAGTTGGAGAGCATGATCCATCACCGTCCCATGTTAGCTGCGGCCAGGCACACACCCGTTGACGTCCTTCTGTCAAGATTGTTAGGCGGGACATTGCCGCAGTGGCAGGCCGGCTTAGCGAAGGCTACAGGCGTGGGGAGGGTCGCTAGTGTCACATTACATCAGCAGCCGGGGCAGGGGGCAGCCAACCCACCCGGGACATGCACCCTCTGCACCCATATAAGCGGGCTCTTATGCATCTAGCCTGGTGATCTGGATTTGGGTGGTGGCCACATCCTGTTTGCCTTCCCGTTTTCTCGCATCCCGAAATTTTTCGACGGCCGACAAGACTGTGTTGGCCTGCTTTGTTTAATTGTCTCTGGATCAAGGAGATATCACATTGCATCAAAGATTGAGCCTCAGTGGATTGAGACTGTCTCCCTGCCGAGCCAGGAGTACAATTTCCAAACGCTTCCAGTCGCTCGCTGAAGGTCTCCCCCCTCCAACGGGAACAGGAACCTGCCAGCAGCCTGTGAAAGGCTTGCCTGCCGCTGCCATCCTTCTCAACACTGGATGCGCTCCGTCTTCGTCCGCAGAGGGACTGTGACTTCCTTGAATCTTGCATCCACAACCACCGCAACCACCCCGGTCACACCTTGGACAACCTCCTCCACCCTCGCATTCAACCAGCTGCTCAGACGCCAGCACCACCAGCTCCCGCTCGCCAAACACGGCTGCTCCCGCACTACTCTGGCCCTTCTTCCCAAAACCATCTGCTATAAGACAACGCGACGAACCGGTCTTGGCCAGTTCCACCGTCCTTTCTCTACCACCTCGTCCGCTGCCGGCGCCGTCACATCTGACCCTCCGCCGACCGCGCAGCAAAACCAACCCTCCAATCCATCAACACCTACCCCCCCGATCGCAGAAATGAACGGCACCAACGCGTCTCCGCGCTCCAAGCGCAAGGCGCCCACAAGCCCCGAGGGTCTGCGACCGCACAAGCAGCATCGCGCCGTCAATGGCAAGCTGTCCGCTGGCGACAACACTCCCGAGATCGAGCTTGAACACTCGGCTTTCGTTGAAGAGGACTCTGGCATGGAGGACAGCGCCATGATGGGAAGCATGTTCCCCATCTCCCAAGAACCCGAGGTATGGCAGAAGACCATTGAGAATGTCGTGAGCAACGTCGTCTCTATTCGCTTCTGCCAGACCTGCTCTTTCGACACAGACCCGGCGTTGACCAGCGAGGCGACTGGATTCGTGGTGGACGCACAGAAGGGGTAAGACTACGTCATGACACTACCCAAGATGGATTGAGGCGGCATGCTAATTCTATGGCCCAACAGATACATCCTGACAAATCGACACGTCGTCGGATCCGGTCCCTTTTGGGGATACGTCGTTTTCGACAACCACGAAGAAGTCGATGCGTACCCAGTCTACCGGGACCCTGTCCACGATTTCGGTATCCTGCGATTCGATCCCAAGGCCGTCAAGTACATGAGATTGAACGCGCTGCAGTTGCGACCGGATCTTGCAAAGGGTAGGCAGACACCCTGATGGGCGACGCATTTTTAAAGTGGAGGCACTGACGTATTTTTAGTGGGTGTCGAGATCAGAGTCGTTGGTAACGATGCTGGAGAGAAGCTCAGTATCTTGTCTGGATTCATCAGTCGGTTGGATCGCAACGCGCCCGAGTACGGCGATGGCTACAGCGATTTCAACACGTGCTACTACCAGGCCAACGCCGCCGCGAGTGGTGGCAGTTCGGGCAGTCCGGTGGTCAACATCGATGGTTTTGCCGTTGCGCTGCAAGCTGGTGGACGTTCCGATGGCGCCTCAACAGATTACTTCCTACCCCTGGACCGCCCATTAAGAGCCCTGCAGTGTGTCCAGCAAGGCAAGCCCGTCACGAGAGGTGACATCCAATGCCAATTCCTTCTCAAGCCTTTTGACGAGTGCAGACGTCTCGGTCTTACCGCCGAATGGGAGGCTGCTGCTCGCAAGGCCTTCCCCAAGGAGAACAACATGCTTGTTGCAGAAATTGTGCTTCCAAAGGGCCAGTCCGACAGCAAGATCGAGGAGGGCGACATTCTCATCAAGGTGAACGGAGAGATGGTCACGCAGTTCATTCGTTTGGATGATCTTCTCGACTCCAACGTTGGCAAGTCTATTCGCCTCCAAATCCAGCGAGGTGGAGAGGATATTGAGGTTGATATTGACGTCGGCGACCTGCACAAGATCACCCCTGATCGATTTGTTTCCGTTGCCGGCGCCAGCTTCCACAGCTTGTCCTACCAACAAGCTCGTCTCTACGGTGTTGCATGCCAAGGAGTCTTCGTTTGCG